CTTTTCTTGTCCGGATGCAGGCTGCGGGTGTGGCATAAAGCTGACGGAGCCACGCTGGGGCTCATACGGGGCAAAGGTAGGCCGTTGCTGTTGGTTTCCACGTGCGTAGGATGAACCGTCGAGGCTCATTGGTGTTGCGTTGTTGTTGCTGTTGTTTGACTGTGCAGGTGCCCCTTGCTGGTGCTGTTCGTAGAAGGACATGAAGGAGAAGAACTTCTCCATCATGTCTGGATCAAAGGCCGCAGCTTGATTTGCGGGAGTTTCCGAAGACGATGCCCTTGGTCTTGTTGCTGTACCCTCCTCTGTCTGTAGGCCAGAGGCAGGAGGTGGAGTAGGAGTAGTGCCAGGAGAGCCGTTAGAGGAGCTTCTCTCCTTCTGTGTTGCCATTTCTTGCGATGTTGTAGATTTCTTGTTTGTAGTCGAATTTGCCCTGACTGCTCTCATACCATGTTGGGCTGAGAAAGCCCTTTAGGATCTTTGCAGGGCAGAACTCAAGGGTAGGATGATGTAATAGCGGAAGCGTTTAATAAATGATTGTGAACCACCTTGCGCTTGTATGTGAGGGCAAAGTAAGTTAATGATAATAAAAGAGATACAAGCTTTTATAAGAATACAAAGGAATATGAAGAGATACAGTTAACTGTTTTACTGTTGCTGTTGCGGTTCAATACAGTGTCGACTCGGGCAACTGCTCAGTATCGAGACAGTTGTTTGTCCTTGCTGTCGCGCTGCATTTGTCAGGTCAAAGGTCGCTGACCTTTGACTTTCGCGTAACCTCCAACAGTTATTCAACCTCCGAGGGTTGACTCACCGATATTTCGATACGAGCTGCTTCGCTTCTGTCTTTGGTGTTTCGACACGACAGAGGCGCCTAAATCAGTTGTTTCCAACAGATATACCATTAATTTACTATGCAAAGCTGGTGGAAACTGGTACAAAGATGTTGATATACCATTAATTTACCATGCAAAGCTGTTGGAAACTAGTGACTTTTCACATGAATCTATCGTACTTATTTTTCTTGTTATTACATGAGCAAGTGTCGGACTCTCGCTATATACGTGTGAAATCACGAATGTTGGTTTTCTTATCTACTTTGCCAAAGTGAATCACCTGGTTTCACTTTATTCGGGTACGTTATTGGCCGGTGTCTTGTAGCTGTGGAGGGCTGAGGTTTTAACGGTGATGATGTGGAAGCATCGAGATCTTCGATAGCCTTTGTGTCAGCGAGCATGACACCGGCCAAGAACGTACCATAAGCCATAAGAAGCCGGCAACCGGCGCAAGAGGCCGGTTCCCCTAGCTACACATGTGCAGCAGGGGTTGCCAGTAAATACGCACCGACCGGAGGGGGTTGGCTGTATGTATGACCAATAGTGGATTTAAAATAGTGAACCTCATACGTGCCACCAGTGACCTACCGTGTAATGGAAGTGCGTGCAAGGGGGATTTGTAGCATCACTCGTCACTACAAAGGTATTATTCCAAAACGTGATGTGATTGATTACCAGAGCAACGTGTGTAAACTTTGAAGCATCAACTCATTCCAGCTGTCAGGAACGCCAGGGAGGCAGAAATTAACGCAGTCTTGTTTTATGCCATCAATTAAGTCACTGTGCCACTTGCTGATATGTGCGTCTGCCCGGGCAGCTGAAACCTGCCCGACAGGAAGAATTTGTACTCTGCTGCTGCTCCTGCTGCCTTCATCAGCCAGTTCCGAGTCGATAATCTTTGCCCTCTCCTTGTCCCTATGGGGTTTCTCTAGTGGCACTGTCACACTGTCACAGGTACCCTTGCCAGACCACTTGGCCTTCCATATGTTCTTATAATGAGGGACAGCGGGGTCTTTGCTGGAGGCGAAATGGTGCCCAGGAGTGCTGAGGAAGAAGACCGGAATGTTCTTCAATCGAGGGGTGCTCTTAGCCCAGGCATTGATTGTCCTCAGAGCAGAGCGGAAGGCAGATACAGAGTCTAAAGAGGCGGGGGCTTCACTGGAATTATCTGCAGAAGGACTGCCGCTGAGAAAGATAACAGACTGCTCCTTACTGCTGCGACCGCCACCGCTGCTGCCGCCGCTGCTGCTGCTGCTGCTGGAATCACTGCTGTTGCGATAAGGGGCTGCAGTTGCAATTGCAAGAAGGGGGAGGAAGGCATTGTCGGAAAAGGCTGCTGCAGCGTGCAGCACGAGGAGGTCTGCATGTTGCCCTGCGAAGCTGTGCCAGGGCCCCAACTGCCGCAGAGACACACGCACCGTCGATGCCTCTCCACTGCTGCTGCTGCTGCCAGTAGTAGTGGTGCCGCTGGTGCTGCTGGTTACCAGGTAGTCTGAAGGAAAGAACACAAATGTTACATTTCCATCACCGGATCGCCATAATTGTGCGCCTGCTGTTGCCATTGCCTCCTTCTCTGCACTTGTTGCTTGCCTCGCAGCCTTCTTTGCTTTTGGTGAGACTCGGTACAAAGCCGAGGAGGGTGAGGCGGGTGGTGTGGAGGAGGGAGGAGAGGCGTGGGCCCACACGAGGCAGAGGAGCGAGAGGAACATCTGCCGTGGGTGGGGAAGGAGGAAACGGAGGAGAAGGCAAGAAAGCGAGTCATGAGGCGCTTTGAGAGTCGGTGTGAGCCCACCTACACGAGGCAGAGCAGAGAGAGGAGCATCTGCAGTGGGTGAGGTGAGAGAACATGGCAGGGGTGCATCAATCAGATGAGTTCGTCATCTTCTCTTCCCTTCCCCCTCCCCCCCATCCCCCGTCCCTGATCCCCTCCCCCATCCCCATCCCCATCCTTATCCCCCTCCCCCTCCCTCTCCCCCTCCCCATCCATCCCCATCCCCATCCCCATCCCCATCCCGATTCCGATCCCGATCCCGATCCCCCTCCCCCTCCCCATCCATCCCCATCCCCCTCCCCACCCTCCCTCTCCTCTCCCCCCCACCACCATCCCCACCTGCTTCGCCACAGCATCGCCTGCAAACACAACATGCTTGTTGCGGAAGCTGCTGAGAAGCTTCCGCGCGTCAAACCGCGGCAGCAGGCACCCAGCAGGCTGCCAGCGGTACTGGGCCAGGTCGAAGGACGGCCTTTCAGTGCAGGCAAACCGGGACTCGATATAAGGACACGTGGAGGCGTATAACGGGTACGTGCTGTCCCTTTTCCACGTGCCCTGCTCCACCGCACACCTGTTCTTCTCAGCATTCCTCCGCTGCACCCCCCCACCTCCTGCTGCTGCTGCTGCTGCTGATGATGATTCTGATAGTCCTGCCGTTGCTTCCCCTCCTTCAACTTCCCCTTCTACTTTCCCCTTTCCCTCCTCTGTTCCTACCCGTTTCCGTCCGCCTTTCCCTTCCGCGTCTCTTGCCCCCGACTCCGAGCTCCCCCCTTCTCCGTCCTGATCTTCTTCCCCCGTCTCCGGCCCTATCCGTGCTTCCCCCGCTGTCCCCACCTCTTTCACTGCCCACCCCTCCGTTCCCGATCCTGCTTTTTCGGGCTCCTCTTCACCGGATTCCTCTTCCCGCCTTTCTTCCTCCCCGGCTTTCCCCACCCTGTCGTCTTGTGAAGTTATGTCGCTTTTCACGTCATCCTCCGCTACTAGCGGCGTGATTTGCGGAGCGTCGGGGTCGTAGCCGTATCTGGCGGTGAGATTCGCGCTGTGGTGCGCGACGGACGAAACGTACCCAACGATGATGAGCGCGAAGAGCGTGGCGAAAAGCAGGTAACGTCGCAAATGGAAGCGGAATCCTTCGTAGCCCAGGAAGCGAGAGAGAAATTCCTCGATCTCGCCGGGAATATTCATGCTGGAATTTGGCGGGCAGGCAAACAAATAATGGCGGCGACGGCGAACTGGGCGGGTCTAGGGAATGCCAAAACCTGAATGTGTGGTCGTTGGCTGGTCTGGCTCTGTCTGGCAGGTGTTTTTGGAAATGTAGGGAAATGACAGAAATTGCTCGTTATGAAATGCTCCTTGATTGTGTTGAGATTCGAAGGTACACGCGGGCTCCAGCCACCAATACAATTTCTGTTCGGAGCGCGACGTATATCGTCTGGGCACTCTTCTCGAACCTTTCCACGTGACACCGTGGTGCTCCTGCTGTCACTCTGGATTCCGCCACGTCGTTCCCCTCTCCCACCAATCGCAAGAGACGGCGCAATCCACTTTGCCTTCGGAGCTGCGCCTTGAGAACTCCATTGAAATCTGCACGGGTCAGCTGGCCCCAAGCAAAAGCAGAAAACACATTCCTGTGAGGATCAATGCACGAGCATCAAAAGCAGCAATAACAACAACAGGCGTCAAATTGTCCAGCCTTTCCAGGAGTGCCTGTCGTTGCGACCACGCTGCTTCGTGCAAATTTATTTTCCCTACCTTATAATAACATTGCTCTATTCGCATAGGATCGAACGTGGCCAACATGGCCGCAGCGTCGCACTCGCTAGCGCTCCTACAGAGCTCCTCACAGGCCTTATCTCTTAGCAATGCCGTAACAAGCGGCAGCAGGAGCCTTACAGGTAACCAGTGCCAGGCTCTGGTCTCGCGACCGTTGATCCCTGTGATTCGCCAGCCAGACGCGCCTGATTCCTGGCGAATTCGTGGTCCGATCAAGGTGCAGGCCGGGCTAGATAAGCTCGGGTTCCTGGGTCGGCTAGGCCGGGTGATTAAAGAGAAGGCGCAGAGCGACTTCGACCGCGTGTTCAAGGGTGTGACTAAAACGAGAGAGAGCCTGAAGGTTGTGGACGAGCTTCTGACGTACTGGAATTTAAACGAGTCGGACAATATCCTGGAAGAGCTGGAGGAGGTAAGCCGTACAAGACAGGTCACATGGCCTCGTGATTTGTGATGTAAACTGTTCACATATGAGATAATAAAGGAGAGTGCGAGGGTGCATCAGGATAGAAGTTCAGCCCCTGACTGGCTTTCGATGGATTCAACGGAAATTGGAAAATCCTCTTTATCTTCGATTTACTTCCCGCCCTTTTTCTGTGTTTTTCCCCTCCATCTTATTGTTGAAGGCCCTTATTGTAGCGGATTTCGGGCCGCGCACTGCGCTTCGCATAGTGGACGGCATCCGAGAGGAGATTAAAGCTGGGCAGCTGAAGACCGGCAAGGAGATTAAGGTGAGTTGGGACTTAACTCAAATTTCAACGTATTATGATAGAGGACATCCTCTCCTGGTGCAGGCTCTAACGTGGCGAAACAATGAATGGGGGTGGAGATGGGAGAGTCAGAAGTGGAGGGGGTAATGACGTAAGGGTAAAAGGAGAAGGTGGAACAGAAAGAATCATTGTTACCGAGGCGTTGGAAAGAATATCGACTAGGAAGATGAAACCGCAAACCCCTGTCTTTATGCGTTCACACCATCCTATCCTTTTCTCGCCACACCCTCACACGTTCCTCCGCCCACTCTCTGCCTCCCGCCCCTCGCCCGCCCGTTCGTGTCACGCGACAATCCCCTCTTTCTCTCCTCACTCGGCCCGCTCGTTTGTGTCACGCGACTCCAGGAAGCGCTGAAGCGCGCCATTGTGAAGCTCCTCACGGACAAGGCGCCCGTGACCGCGCTGGAGCTGGGCACCAGGTGCGCTCACAGGGGCGAGGGGGGAGGGGGAAGGGGGAGGGGGAAGGGGGGAAGGAGGGAAGGGGGAGAGGAGAGGAGGAAAGGGGGGAGTGGGGGGAAGGGGAGGGAGGGGGCACGGGAGACGGGGCGGAGGGTGAGCCGGGGATTGGAACTGCTACTTTCGGACAAGGCGCCCGTGACTGCATTGCAGCTGTTCACCAGCTTAGTTCCTTAAGAACCCTCACTATACCCCTGGATTCACGTTCAATATTTTTTCTAGACAAGTTTTGAATCTACTTTTCGTCCCTCCCCTTCGCCAACCCCCTCCCCCTCTTCCCATGCGTGCAGCAAGCCGGCAGTGGTGATGATTGTGGGCGTGAATGGCGGCGGCAAGACCACCACCATTGGTCAGCCTTGCACCCTCCCTCTCGCTCTCCCTCCCTCTCGCTCTCCCTCCCTCCCACGCTCCCTCGTTCCTCCGTTCTTGCCTTGCGTCTATCATGTCTCTGTGGTTTCTTGAACGTTTCAGCCCTCTCATCTCAACATGTAATTTTCTTAGGAGCATCTCGCCTCTACTGTGCTGTTTACACCATCTCCCATTCCCCATTCCCCATCCCTCATCCCAATCCCCCACTCCCCAGCCCCGATCTCCCATCCCCCATCCCCCATTTCCCCTTCCAATTCCCGTGTCCTCTCTCCCATGCTCTCCTTCTTTGCTCTCCTTCTTTGCTCTCTTTCCTGTCCACCAGGCAAGCTGTCTCACCGGTTCAACAAAGAGGGAGCCAAGGTAATGCATTCCGGGGGGTCTGAGTAACATGTGTTGTGTAGGCGTCAGGGTAACACACATAGGTGTTACAGCAACGCGATAATTCGCTTATGACTTGCAGCGTTGTGGGTGGTAACAGGGTAACGCTACCCTTCTTTTCCAACCCCCTGCTCTCGTCTCCCCCTTCCCGTCCATTTCCTCTTTTTATCAGGCTCAGAATCTGCCAGTCCCCCCCTCCTCACACACGTACCTCTACCAGGCGTGTAGTGAGTCGATTTTTGAGTCGACTCAAAAATCGACTCAGAATCTGCCAGTCCCCCCCTCCTCACACACGTACCTCTACCAGGCGGTGATACGTTTGGGCCGGAAGTTTACAAGCAGAGACGTTTCAAAAGCCATTCCTGCTCCCCCATCCCCCACTCCCCCTCGCCCACTTCCTTTCCCAGGTGCTGCTAGCAGCGGAAAATTCAGGGCGGCAGCAAGCAAGCAGTTTTCTTATCCCTCAAAGCTCATCCATGCTCACCAATATTCCCTCCTCCCGATCTCCCCCCCACCCTCCCAGGTGCTGCTGGCAGCGGGAGACACGTTCAGGGCGGCAGCGAGCGAGCAGCTGGAGGTGTGGGCGGAGAGGACAGGCGCATCGTTCCTCAGGGGGGAAGGGGAGAAGGCCAGACCCGCCACGGGTGAGTGTCTGTCAGCAGTGAACATTTGACTGCCAGTCACCGAGAGAGAGCCACCCACAGAGTCACATCTGCTGCAGCTGGAGGCGTGGACGGAGAGGACAGGCGCACAAATTCTCACTGCAGAGGGGGAGAAGACCAGACCCGCCACGGGTGAGTGCCAGTCACGGGTGAGTGCCAGTCACGGGTGAGTGCCTGCCTGGGGTGAGTGCCTGCCAGGGGTGAGTGCCCGCCAGTAAACACGTTCAAAGCAATGGGTGGTGAATGGAAGCATGTGAGGAGAATGGGTTTCATATGGGCCCACCCACCTGTGCATCCACCCATATGCCCCGCCACACCCATGCGTCCATGCATCCACCCACACCTACCCCCTATGCAGTGCTGGCCAATGCGGTGCGCAAGGCAAGCAGTGACGGCTTTGACATCCTCCTTGCCGACACCTCTGGCCGTGAGTCGTGCAGAAAAAGGGGAGGGTGGTCACTGGGGGGAATTGGTACGTGGGAGGGGGGTCTTGGGTGCTGAGACACGGTACGGGGGCTTGAGGCATGGGAGGCAAGCGCTGAGGGCTTTGACATCCTTCTAGCTGACACCTCTGGCCGGGGGGGGGCAGGAGGGACTGGGACAGGGGAAGAGGGTCTGGGAGGGGGTTGGGATGCGCAAGGCAAGCTCTGAGGGGTTTGACATTCTCCTTGCTGACACCTCTGGCCGTGATTCGTGGGGAAAGGGGACTGATGCACGGGAGGGGGGTTGTTGTGGGGCTGAGTCACGGCAGGGGGGTGGAGGCATGGGAGGCAAGCGCTGAGGGCTTTGACATCCTTCTTGTCGACACCTCTGGCCATGAGTCATGCAGAAAGAGGGGATGGGTCAAGGGGGACTGATGCATGGGAGGGGGGTGTTGGGGCACAAGCCTGCGTGGGAGTGCTGACAACTGCTGTTGGCAACGCGCGTATTACCTTTGAGAGATTTAGAATATAATCTCTGGAACACCTTAGGTTGGACCCCTGGCCTGGCCCACAGGATTTTGGACTGTCGCAAAGAGACAGGGCTGGCGTGGTAGTGTGTGCTGCCAGTGTGAGCAAGCAAGCACACTTCCCACCTCCACAACTTTCCCATCAACTTTCCCATCAACTTTCCCACCTTCACAACTTTCCCTCGTTCCTCCCACACCGCAGGGCTGCACACCAAGTTCAACCTTATGGAGGAGCTGAGAGTGTGCTCATGTCACTCCCAGCTTCCTTGTTCCTTTACCCCTCCCCTCTCCCTACCCCTCCCCCGCACCCCACCACCCCCCACCACCGCATTGCACCGCAGGGCTGCACACCAACTTTAACCTCATGGAGGAGCTCAAGGCGTGCTCCCTTTGCCTCCCCGCTTCCTCCCTCCCCACTCCCCACCACACAACACCACCACCACCCACCTCCCACCACCGCACTGCATCCCACCGCAGGGCTGCACACCAACTTCAACCTGATGGAGGAGCTCAAGGCGTGCAAGCGAGCCGTGGCCAAGACCCTGCCCGGCGCTCCCAACGTGAGTCGCTCCCTGCCACTGTGCGCCTGTGCCCTGCCACTGTGCGCCTGCTGCCTGCCAGCCACTGTTCCCTGCTCCGGAGTCCTCACCATTCCCAGTGACATAAAAATCCGACGCCTTTCTCTTACGGAAGAGAAGGTGCCAGGTGCTGCTTCGGAGCCTGCATTCTTCTACACTCTTCTCACACGATTTTTAAAGACATCTACAAAACTGCCAGGTGCTGCGACAGGAAATCTGATAATGCATCCCTCCGTGCTCTGCTTGTATATTACCCACCTCACTGCGTGCCTACAGGAGGTGCTGCTGGTGCTAGATGGCACCACAGGGCTCAACATGCTGCCGCAGGCGCGAGAATTCAACCAGGTGAGTCTCCTCCATCCGCCTCCGCTCCCTGTACCCCGTATAATGCATGTTTATCCTGTCTTCTCCCTTGTTGTGCATGTTTACCCCATCCTCCCTTCCCCTGGCTATGCATGCTTGCGTCCTCCCTTGCCATTGCTATACATCTCACCCCTTGCCATCTCACCCCTTGCCTATTGCACTGTGTGCCGCCGCCCTCTATCTGTGCCAGGCCGTCGGGGTGACGGGCTTTGTCCTTACCAAGCTGGACGGTACGGCTCGGGGAGGCTGTGTGGTGAGTTGCCTTTGCCCTCACCCTCTTTCTTTCTTTCGTTTCTTATTTTTTCCTTTGTTTCCTCTCTCACCCCTGCTTCCTGTATTGCACTTGCACTTGCTCCAGTCACTGCCTATTCCATGCCCCATTCACACTCTACCTACCGTAATTACCCGGGTGATGGACCCCCCAAAATTATAGACCCCTGGGTCGTTAAATGGGGGTGGGTCTAATGCTATATGCACTTTCGTAATAGACCCCCCTTTTTGTAACGAATCCGGATTAGACCCCCCTCACTGTATACGCATCGGTTTTTAGCGAGACTGTAGGAAGCGACAGATTAATGTAGTGAAATTTGACTGCAGAATCTGACGCGACTGCAGAATTTGACTTCGCGCGTGCCTCGCGTCAGGTGTGGTCAAATTTTCCCTGATGGAACATTGCAATTCTCGCTTCTGGTGCTGGAACACTAGTATTTTTAATGACTTGGAATTTAAAAATGCACATAGGATTAGACCCCGGGTCTATTAAATCTACACCCACTCAATAGCCCCACCCCCCTTTTTTTTCCGGGGTAGGATTAGACCCCCGGGTTTATTACCTGGGTAAATACGGTATCAGTACCTTGTAAACCAAAATCTGGCTGACGGCTGGGGAAAAATGCTAATCTGGTTAATGGTGAGTGTGTTGTGTGCTCTGCACATGGTTAAATCTGGTGTGCTGTGTGCAGGCAAGTGTGGTTGACGATTTGGGCATTCCAGTGAAGTTTGTGGGCGTTGGGGAGGGCATGGAAGATCTTCAACCCTTCAATGCCGAAGCATTTGTTGACGCTCTCTTTCCCTCGTAGCACTGCTGCCATCTCTTTGTTGCTGAAGCATCAGCTAATGTAACAAACAGTATCATACGGTAGTCTCCCAGACAATCGATAACAAAAAAGGGCAAACCCTCCCATCCTATGGCCGTGGGTCTCTTGTAAGGATCAAGATCTAGCTTCCATGCCACAAACCGCAGCATTGGTGGTTCTGACAATAAAGCTCGGTCAAATCAGTGCATTAGTGCAAGCAACATGTGCCAGGAGGGGTGAGTGATATTTTTTTCTTCAACATTACTATCAGGAGTTCTTACAAGCTCTTCTTCAGTCAAATTTCCTCCAATTATCATCCAAAGCTCTAATTTACTTGCTGCTCCCTCCCGGGGTACCTGGCTCGACGCAAAGGTGGTCTTCCAACGCTCATTCAATGCCGGTGCGATACCGTACTCTGTCAAATTTCTTCCTATTCTCATCCAATGTATCAACCTCCACTTGCCCCTCCACATCCCCACCGCCACACCACACCTAATAGATACGGTACCATGAATCACCTAACCAGCTTGAGAAAGGGAATGCTGCCACAAGCTACGGTACCAGAAGCTACCTCCACCAGAAGCTACAAACTTCCTCCCAGCAGCAGCTACCTCCGCCCAAACCTCCCGCCACCGCCACCTGCTGCCCCCCCTCGCGCGTTGTGAGAGAAGGCAAACCTGGGCTTTGCCTTGCCGCCCTTCACTGCCCCCGGGTCCACCACCTGGATTGTCCTCTGCTTCTTGGCTGCAGGGGAGGATGGGAGGGTGGGAGGGAGAGGGGTGCGCTTCAGAAGAAGGGTGTGCCTGGAGGGCCTCACAGAGCGCCCCTTCGCTTGCTCCCGGGTCCATCACCTGGATGGTGCGCTGCTTCTTGGCTGCAGGGCAGATGAGCGGAGGAGGGAGGGGGGGTACCCGGTGGGAGAGTGTGAGAAGAGTCTCTCAGAACGCCCCTTCACTGCGCCCAGGTCCACCACCTGGATTGTCCTCTGCTTCTTGCCTGGAAGGATGGGAGGGGAGGGAGAGAGGGGGGGGATTTACCAGAGGAAAAGGGTGTGCCTGGAGGGCCTCCCAGAACATCCCTTCACTGTGCCCGGGTCCACCACCTGGATTCTTCTCTGCTTCTTGGCTGCAGGGTGGGTGGGGGGAGGGGAGGAAGGCAGGGGTTGGGGGGTTGGGGTGTGTTTCAGAAGAAGGGTGCCTCCCAGAGCGCCCCTTCACTGTGCCCAGGTCCACCACCTGGATCATGCACTGCTTTTTGGCTGCATGGAGGATTCGAGGATGAGTGTGGTCCTCAATCCACCCTACAAAACCAGCTCCACCATCGAAGCTAGGTCTGGGTTGAGGGGTTTGGCGTCTCACCGTCCTGAATCCCTTGGTACCGCTCGTGCAGCTTCCTCTTGGCCAGCTCCAGGCGCTCCTTCTCTGTTCCTCCTCCCCCTGCTGCAAACTGGTAAAGGAGGGAGACGAATGGCACAGCGCGGCAGGGGGGGGCAAAGGGGGGAAAGGGCACGTGCATGCAAGTGTGAGGAAGTGGGAGTCAACATAGGCATCTCCAGGCGCTAGTTTTGAGTCCACTCAAAACATCTCCAGGCGCTCCTTCTCTGTTCCTCCGCCCCCTGCTGCAAACTGGTAAATGAGGGAGACGAATGGCACAGCGCGGCAGGGGGGGGCAAAGGGGGGAAAGGGCACGTGCATGCAAGTGTGAGAGTGAGGAAGTGGGGAAGCATTGCTCGTTGGGAGTCAAGACCCATCTTAATTCGTCCGTTGCTCATCACACACAGTGTTGCTGGGACTTCAAAGCAGCAAGGCAGCGTTGCTGCCTGCGTTGCTGTCACACTATGCAGTTTTGAACCAGGATAGTTTGCTGCAGACCGGAAGGTTAAGAACACTCTGTTCATCCTCGCAATGCACAAACTGAATGCTATGCTAGCAGGTACAGCGTACCTCGGATCTCATGTTGGGCGGCGGGGTGAGGCTCCTGCCATACAAGAGTTGAGTCAACTCAAATCTCGTCTGAAAGACCAGGTACAGCGTACCTCATTTGAATGATGCATGTCCAGGTACAGCGTACCTCAGATCTCATGTTGGGCGGCGGGGTGAGGCTCCTGCCATACGCAGGGGCAGTGGGTCGATACGGCGACACAGACCTTTCCCGCTCCCGCTCCCGCTCCCTCTCCCTTTCCTTAACGCCATGAAGCAAACGCCTCTGCAAAGGGGACCCCTCTCCTCCTGCTCCTCCCCCTCGCCCTCCTCCTGCTGCTCTGCCCATCATCTTCCCAGCACCACCCTGCCTGTCCATGCTTGAGACGCCAGCTGCAGAAAGCCCCGACACCACATTCCGTTTCTTCTCCCTCTCCCGCTCCCGCTCCCTCTCCCTGTCCTTCAGCTTATCCCGCGCCCTTTCTTTCTGCATGCTCGCCCCCTTGCTCCCACCAAACCCATCGCTCCCTACCATCTCCTCCTCCCCTCTCTTCTCCCTCCTCTCCTTGATCCTGTTGTTTAGAGCGCCGGCATTGCTGCTGATGGGCCGTCCCGGTGCCTCCTGTGCTTCCTGCCTGTCCCCTGTATAGCACGGCTTGTTCTTGTTATAAGCAGGGTTGCTGTTGTAAGCAGGAGCTCCGTTATAAGCAGGTGGGGACGAAGCTACATCGCCGTGGGGTGGTGGAGCGCTGTGGTCGTCAGGGCTTCCATCGGATCTGGCTGTAAAGGGTACAAAGGAACAACACATGGACGACAATGTGAAGATACAGATATACAAACGAAAGAACAAGAGGTCGTTAGACTGGGGCCAGGCTGTAAGGGGTATAATCGAACAGCAAATGCACAAGTGGAGTGGCACAAGTGGGGTATAACGTGCTAACCTAGTAAAAGAAAAGGAAATCAGCAAAAAAAAGCTTGTGGAGTGGCACATGTCTTGCATGTGGCAAGGCACGTCCTTTGAGGCGCCTCAAAAGTTGCTTCGGAAGGGTCCAAGCACAGAACGTGCACGTGGCCTGCATGTGGCCAGCAATGTGTAGAGAGTAGAGTTGGTGCGTGACAAGAGAGGAGCGGACAAGCAGGAGAAAGACTCACAGGAGCCGCTGTCGAGGCCGAGACCGAAGTCACGAAACAACTGCACACATGGGGTAAGGCATGGGTAAGGCATGGGTAAGGCATGGGTAAGGCATGGGTAAGGCATGGGTAAGGCATGGGTAAGGCATGGGTAAGGCATGGGTAAGGCATGAGTAAGGCATGGGTAAGGCATGGGTAAGGCATGGGTAAGGCATGGGTAAGGCATGGGTAAGGCATGGGTAAGGCATGAGTAAGGCATGGGTAAGGCACGGGTAAGGGACGGGTAAGGCAGGGGTAAGGCACGGGTAAGGCACGGGTAAGGCACGGGTAAGGCATGGGTAAGGCACGGGTAAGGCATGAGTAAGGTAAGGCACACAGTATTGGAAATTTTGGCATGCACATAGTGAAAAACCAATTTACTATCACCCCACTCGTTACAATCACATTTACCTCCCTGGTCTGTTTGGCCCGCATGGCAATGCTCGCATGCAGAAAAGCACCCTTAGGATGCCTCAAAAGCGGTCCCCTGCACTATAGTCACACTCACACTCGCTATTGTCACGCTCACCTCACTGGCCCCCATGGCGATGCTCCTCCCCTGCAGCAGAGCACTCTCGTCCAGAGGTGGCGATGGCAGGCCCGATGACACGTCCTCTGGTAGCCCTGCTGTGGACCCTGGGAGAGGGAACGGGGGAGAGGGAGAGCAACGAGAGGGGTTGACTGCAGGCGAGGGCAGAGGGGCAGTGGAGCAGGGGAGGCAGCATGAGGGGGCGATGGCAGGCCCGATAACACATCCTCTGGTAGGCCTGCTGTGGAGCCTGGGGTAAGGGGGGAGAGAGGGCGGGCAGCAAAGGCAAGAAGGAAGGGCAGGATAGCAAAGGAGCAGGGGAGGCAGCATGTGGGGGCGATGGCAGACCCGATGACACGTCCTCTGGTAGGCCTGCTGTGGAGCCTGGGGTAAGGGGGGAGAGAGGGCGGGCAGCAAAGGCAAGAAGGAAGGGCAGGATAGCAAAGGAGCAGGGGAGGCAGCATGAGGGGGCGATGGCAGACCCGATGACACGTCCTCTGGTAGGCCTGCTGTGGAGCCTGGGGTAAGGGGGGAGAGAGGGCGGGCAGCAAAGGCAAGAAGGAAGGGCAGGATAGCAAAGGAGCAGGGGAGGCAGCATGAGGGGGCGATGGCAGACCCGATGACACGTCCTCTGGTAGGCCTGCTGTGGAGCCTGGGGTAAGGGGGGAGAGAGGGCGGGCAGCAAAGGCAAGAAGGAAGGGCAGGATAGCAAAGGAGCAGGGGAGGCAGCATGAGGGGGCGATGGCAGACCCGATGACACGTCCTCTGGTAGCCCTGCTGTGGACCCTGGGGAACACATGGGGAGAGAGGGCGAGAGAGACAGAGAACAGCGAAGGCAGGAGGGGGCGATGACAGGCCCAATGACACGTCCTCTGGTAGCCCTGCTTTGAAGCCTGGGGGATGGGAGGTAGAGAGAGGGTGTACGGAGAGGAGGGAGGACGTGAGGGAGCCAGGGAGGGACAGCAAGGAAGGGACAGCGAGGGAGGGACAGCAAGGGAGGAGATTAGAGGGTGGGAGTGACACAGGGAGCGGCAGAGAGCAAGGGAGGGAGCGAGCAGTGATTCAGAGAGGGAGGGAGCGAGGAAGAGAGAAGGGAAGAGAGGAAGGGAGCAGGGAACTCACGAGCTACGGCTGCTGCGCTCTTGCGGCACTCCTTCACCAGATCCTTCCATGCACTGAGGCGAGGAGTGGGATGATGGGGGGAGGGAGGCAGTGAGAGAGCGGCACGCTATGGTGTGGGATACACTCTGCCCGTGACGATGAGACAGCAAGGATCATTTGCAACGCCTGCTGCGCTCTTTTGGCACACGCTCATCTTTGAGGCGCCTCAAAAGAGGTGATTTCTGAGGCGTCTAAAAAAAAAACGTCTGGTGCGTTCTTTTGGCACAGGCTCATCGTACACTCACCCAATGAGCTGCCTGCACCCGCTGCGTAATGCATTTATCCTTTATGAGAGCTCACCCGATGAGCTGCCTGGTGATGGCGCGCACTTTCTCCGACGGGTGGTTGCGGAACGAGTTGACCCTCTTGCCCACCTCCGTCACCTGATGCACACATGCAGCAAGACAGCAAGGCAGCAAGGCAGCAAGGCATTGACGCGTTGAAGCGATGGGGCAGGGGCAGTGCAAGGGGATGTGGGACGGGGGAAACGGAAAGGTGGAGGCGAAGTGGGGAGAGGGTGGGAGCGGGAAGGACGAAAGGAATGGGTGGTGTTACGCCTACCACCTCCACCTATCACCTCCGCCTATCACCTCCACTTATCACCTCCACCTATCACCTCCGCCTGTTCCAATCACGTCAACCCATCCGCCACACCTCAACAACGAAATATGTTTTTTTTTTTTTGGGATTTGCAAAAGACAACACCCCACACAATCCCCTTCCTTCTCCCCCTTAATCATTCCGCCCTGTCCCTGTCTGCCAATGTGCCCATCATCTTCGCCTATCCACCCCTACACTGCGACACCTCGCACTGCTGCCCTCTCACACTGCTACCCCCTCACACTGCTGCCCTCTCACCCGCAGAGCTTCGAGGGTCATGGGCATGTGCAGGAGAGACTCAAGATGCCGCACCAAGTAGTCGTTATCCTGCCCAGCCGTGGCGGGAAGGGGAGTGATGGTGATGCAGGGGTGAAGAGGAGAGGGGGGTACAGCCGGGAAGCGGCTCAAGATGCGTGGTCATACGCCTAACCAGGAAGCGACTCAACCACTGTGTGGTGTTTACCTCAAGATGCGTGGCACCAGCTAGTGGTTGCCCTGCCTAACCCGACTATCAGGGCGAAGGGAGATGGGGGGGTGTGACGTGAGGTGAGGCGAGGGGAGGGAACATTGAAGGGACTCCAGGTAACGTGCCAGCTTCTTTCGGTCCGGCACAGTGGGCACGCGTGGTGGGGAAGGTTCTGGAGGGGAGGGGCCTGGTTTTGAGGCTCCTCAAAAGTCGTGGTGGGGAAGGTTCTGGAGAGGAGGGGCCTGGTGCGGAAGAGCCTGGGGTGCGAGACGTGGGCGAGGTGAGAGGTTGAAAGGGGGAAAGAGGGAAAGGGGGGGTGGGAGGGGAAATCGGGGGAGCGAGCGGGGAGGGAGCTGAACAGGTATCGTGCATAGTGACCAAGCAGAAAGGACACTTACCAGTCTGGACGGTCTAAGGAGGTCTTTAATCTCCTCAATCCGCTCAACTAGCCGATCCTCCTCCTGAAGCTGTTCTTCCAGCACTGCAGCGGTCGCATCTCCCTCCTCCTCCCACGCTCCTCCCTCCGCATCCCTCCCCACTCCTCGATCCACTCCTCTTCCCTCCCCTTCTTTTACTCTCTCCCTCCCGTTCCCTCTCTCCTCGCCTCTGCCCCTACCACCGTACCCAGAACCAGCGTTCCCACCGTTTCTCCCCGTTTGACGATCAAACCCATCAACGTCGTCGTTCTCCTTCATAACATCCACATCCACGTCCTCTTCCTCCTCCTCCTCTTCCTCTTCTTCCTCGTCCTCCTCATCCTCGTCATCCGAAGCGTCGCTTTCCCCAAGCACAAACACGCACCCGCGCCTCTTCGTTCGCTTCTCCTCCTTCTCCTCCTCCTTCTCCTCCTTCTCCTCCTCCTTCTCCTCCTTCTCCTCCTCCTTCTCCTCTTCCTCCGCCTTCGTCGCATCGCCACGGAAATCCCTTTCATCATCCACACCCTCGGCAGCATCGTCTGATGGCCGAACATCGTCTGACGGCCGAACATCGCCTAACGGCCGTCCATCACCTGACGACCGTCCATCGCCTGAAGGCCGTCTACTCTTCTCGTCACTGCCGCGCCCTTCCGGTCGATCTCGCTCTCGCCGGTCGCCGTCTCCCTGTTCGCGCCGCTCCCCCGCTCCCCGTTTCTCGTCCTCATACCCACCCCCATCACCATACCCATCTCGTCTCCGTTCCCTCACATCGCCCCCATCTCCGCCTTCGTTCCGCCTTTCATCGTTCCCCAACGCGTTTTTGACCGTCGGATTCAGCCCATCGCTCGCTGCTTCCTCTCTCGGATCGCCTTCGTCACGTGCGTGACTTGCCGTCGTCGCGTGTTGTCGCTCTGCGGCTCGCTCTGCGACTCCTGTTGCCTGTTCCGTCGCTCCCCGCTCCGTCGCCGCCCGTTCTGCGCTCCCCCGCGAAACGTGGGGGGGTGTTCCGTCTCGCACTTGCGACTGGCGACCGAAGGTGAACAGTTTCTCCGCGATGCCGTCGCGTCGCAGGCGTAATTGCGCGGGAAAATCAGAAGCGGCTACCCGAAGCGCCCTGTCAATGACCGTCCAGATGTCGGCTCCAGAGTGGGCGAAATACTTCCGCCATCGCACGTCATCCTCCATACGCTCAAGATGCAACCCTGGTTACGTGTAACCCGGTAACCCGGTTGCGAGGGGCCCTCGCAGCACAAATTCGTCACGCTGGCAACCCAAAATACGTGACCCAGTAATACGAGGTCGGAATTCCGGCAAAAGTCAGCACTTCGTGTGGATTCACAGGGAGCCAGAGGCTCTTGCAATACTCCCAGGCTTACGACCGAAGGGAACTGACCAGGGACGAGCAGATGATGCGACTGCTGAGCAGTCGATGCGAGAGCGGAGACCCTGAGCAAATACATACAACCCGGTGGCTGCAGCGGGTGGCACACGTCCGCAGCACAAGCCACTATGCAGATTGCTGAAGCGCAATGCGGATTCTTCCCAAGGATCGTTTTGTGAGAATACTACGCGACGGCAGTACGAGTCAGTGTGCGACAGGACGAATTACGTCGCCCACTAGGAATTCTCGGGACTCGCCGCGAGAGGGTGAATGCGCGGACAGCAGGATGAGCAGCAGCAGCCACAGAGCAGTTGAGAGAACCAAAACAGGCTGGAACTGAAAATCAAACCTCCAGGAAAGCTGACGAGCCTTGGGAACTGGAGAGTGAAGTGCCTTGGGAATTGGCGGAACAAAGTGCCTTGGGATTTGGCGGAACAAAGTGCCTTGGGAATTGGCAGAACAGAGTGCCTTGGGAATTGGCAGTGCCATGTGCCTTGGTTGGGAACTGCCAGCTTTCACAGATGGGCCAGACCAGCGCAGCCGCTTCGGTTGGGGGAGGAGGTAGGGGAGGGAAGGGAGGGACACGATTTGCGGTGGGCTGATTGTAGGCATGGTATGTATCTCTTCGCCGGAGCAACGTAGTGGCGGCGACGAAAAGTTGACGGATGTTACGAGTGCAATTGAGCCAGCGAGCTGGAATTGCACTATCTAAGGAAAACAATACAATGAGCAAAGGCATGCGCGAAGAATATATAGCGAACTAGTGGTAACGGTAACGCAAGGAATTGGGGTGCGCTACAGGCCTAGCGCCAAGGTTGGGATATGTCGAGGCGGAGTTCCGGAGCGCGGGTTACCAACCGAACCGTGAGGTTGGGTCGCATCGTGAATAGTGGCGGGAGTCGTAGTCGAGGCGAGTGTCGCGAGCGGATAACGTTTCACTGTTTGGGTGCCGATGGCGGGAATGGTCTTGTACGCGGTAAGCAGGGGCGCGAAGTAAGGAAAAGGATTTTTCCTTACACTACCCCCCTCCCCGAGGAGGCCCTCCTTACGAGAGTGCGTGTACATCTCAAAAATTTCGACTGCGCAAATACTCAGTGAGGACAGGGTGGTTCTCAATTCTATCCAGGGGAACCCAGTTGTTGAGAAGAAACGAGGAATGAAAATGACTAAGTGAAAGTTGGGTACAAAAAGCAAACCCTAGAAAACTGTACCCCATATGTGCCACCCCACTATAGCCTACAATAGCTATGTCATATAAATCTGACACACCCCCATAGGCAAAGTGGGGGAGAACAAGGGGTCACAGGACCAGTCAAGCACAGCAAAACAAGCTCAGGGTGGATCACAAAGTCACCACACATTCCGAGCACAAGTTCAAGGCCACAAGGCCAGTTCACATGCAGGATTACATATATATATAAGGCTAGACAAGCAAGAGCAGGAGTATATATATATATGCATCAGTACAAACAAGGTCAAGGGGTGAGCAAGTGAGGCAAGGTGGGCACAAGACCCAGCTGAGTACAGAAGCGCTGATGATCACAAGGCGCAAGTGCCTTGGTGAAGATATCAGCAGTGTTGGCCTGAGAGGCCACGTACGCAAGCCGCAGCTGACCACGCTTCTGTAGCTCACGAGCAAGGAAGTAGCGGAGAGCAATGTGCTTCGTTCTGTGCTCCAGTCTCTGCTCTCGACACAAGGCCAGCATGGCCTTGTTGTCTACGTACAGCACTGGAGGAGAACGAGGCGGCTCTCCGAGGTCAGTCAGCAGGTAGGTGAGCCAGCGAAGCTCCTGTGCAGCCATGGCCCCGGCGTAGATCTCAGCCTCACAACTGGAGCCGAGAACAGAAGACGAGCGGGTAGCCCGCCACGAAAAAGAGCCGGAACCAAGGCTGAAGGTGTAACCCTGTGACGACCGCTGCGTAGCCTGGTCGTCAGCCCAAGAAGCGTCTGCGTGCCCAGTGAGGACCACTGGACTCTGCCCTCCAAGCACAAGCCCCATGCCCGACGTACTGCACAAGTAGCGCAACACCCTCTTCACTGCAGCCATGTGCTCCGGTCTGTGTCTCCCAGGAGCAACATAGCGTGCGAGAATGCTAAGAGGGTATGCGAGGTCAGGTCGAGTGCAGGTCATCAGGTACATGAGGCAGCCAACAAGCTCTGGGTACGGGCCACTCGACTCTACGGACTCATCCGAAGGCAGAGCTGAGAGCGAGTGGCGAGTAGGCAGAGGAGTGGCCTGAGGCGAGGAGTACGTGAAGCCGAAGCGCTGAAGGACCTGCTGCACCATGTGTGACTGAGTCAGGGTAATGGTGCGGCGTGCTCTGTCCCGGGTGATCTGCAAGCCAAGGTAGCTGCGCAGTTCACCCAGGTCTGTGCACGTGTGTCTCTTCTGCAGCTCGGACTTCACGTGGGCGAGTCCAGCAGTGTCAGCTGTGGCAAAGACCAAGTCGTCGACGTACACGAGGATGTAGAACGGTGGCAAAGAAGTGTCGGTGCGCAGAAACAGCGACGGGTCGGCAGTAGAGGGAGCAAACCCAAGAGCCGCAAGTGTAGTCCTCAGTGTGTCGTGCCACTCACGCGGTGCCTGGCGGAGACCGTAGACTGGCCGCCGGAGGCTCCACTGGGTGCCAGGAGGAAAAGACCCAGTGAAGCCAGGTGGGCGACGCAGCCAGATCTCCTCGTGCAGGCTGCCCTGCAAGAAAGCAGTGCTGAAGTCAAGAGAGTGCAGCTCGTAGTCGCGGTGAGCAGCTATGTGCAGCAGTACCCGAAGAGTGGTCATCTTCGGGGTGGGAGAGAAGGTCTGAAAGTAGTCAACTCCCTGCCGCTGACTGAAGCCACGAGCCACGTAACGCGCCTTGAAGACAGGCGGAGAACCCGGCGGCCGCTTCACCCTGAAAATCCACATGCCACTGACGATGTTCGCCCCAGGCGGGGGAACCTCGTCAACGTAGGTACCTGTGGACTTCTAGGAAGCCATCTCTGTGTCCATAGCTGCCTGCCACTGAGAGGAGTAGGGACCCTCTATCGCCTCCGCGTAAGAGCGCGGAGTCGGGATGTCAAGTGCATCCGGGTCTCCCTCAGGGGTAAGCAGTACGGACACGAGATGAGGTGAAGCAGCAGCCAAACACTGGAACTCCTCCTGCCTGTCCTCAAGGACGTCCGTGCCAAGGGCACACTCACCCCCGACGGACGGAGGACAGACAGACACAGACTCAGCGACAAGACAAGCAGCGTAGTCTAGACGACAGCGAGCAGCAAAGTCGACGAGCTCAGCAACTAGGGCAGACGCAGCAGTGGACGCAAAGGAAGGGTCAGTGACGACAGTATCAAGGAGACGCGTGACAGTAGGACTGGCAGCACGAAGAGAGTCCGACTCTGGGTCGGGAAGAGCAGGAAGAGAGGACTCAGGAGGAGAAGGCAAAGGGGCACGCAGAGGAGCAGTGGACGGACGCAGAGACATCCGGTGCGTGCCAGGGACAGGAGGAGGACGCTGACGCGAACCACGACCACTAGCGCGAGCAGTACGGACAGGCGACGCAGGACGCGACGCAGGCTCACGACGCTCAGCAAGACCTCCAGTAGGACCAGTGTAGGGAGAAGGAGCGGGCAGTGGGGAGGCCGGCTGTAACTGTAACTGGGACAGGACAGGCTGTGGACTCTCTAAGGGAGGAGGAGGGCCAGTAGAAGGCGGGAGACCAAGAACCTGCTGAAGGAGCGGAACGAAGTACGACCGAGGCCGCGCGGCGACTCCAGACACAGCAGGGACAGCACCAGTACCCCAAGCAGCAGCACCAGCGTCAGCAGCAACTCCAGCTCCAGTACCTCCAGCAGCACCAGTAGCACCCCCAGCAGGCCCGCCTCCAGGACCGACAGCAGTAGCCTCAGCGTCAACACCCTCAGCAGCTCCAGCTCCAGTCGTACCCGCAGGCCCAGCAGCTCCAGTACTCCCAGTACGAGCACCTCCGGGACCCGCGGCACCAGCACCCTCAGTAGCCGAAGAACCTCCAGCTCCAGCAGCACGCCTCCAGCGCCGGGCAAACCACTCGCGCAGCTCCTGTGGAGAGAGTGGCTCCCGCCGAGACGAAGCACCCGGAGAACCTCCAGGCTCAGCACCGCCAGACGCCACACAAGCAGGCCCAGCTCCCTCAGGCTCCACACCCCCAGGCCCAGCACCTCCAGGCGTAGCACCCCCAGGCTCAGCACCCCCAGGCTCAGCACCCCCAGGCTCAGCACCCCCAGTAGTAGCACCCTCAGGCTCAGCACCCCCAGGCGTAGCACCCACACGCTCAGCACCCCCAGAGTCAGCACCCCCAGGCTCAGCACCCTCAGCAGCACCAGAGTCACCAGTAACCTCGACAGGCTCGACTGCGTCTACCTGGGACACACCTGAAGGGGCAGGACCCTGAGGGGGGAGGGGGTCTACCGGGGGGGGACCTGGCACAAGGAAGAGCGGTGGTGGGGGGAGGGACGGAGTGCGGTAGGGGAAGAGGTGGTAGTAGGGGACCGACTCGTCAAACGTGACGTCCTGGGAGGACAGAACACGGCGAGAGGTGGGGTGGTAGAACTGCCACCCTGGCGCGTCAGGGGGGAAGCCAAGGAAGACGCAAGGAGCAGCACGAGGGGACAGCTTGTCCGCAGACAAGTCGCGGACAAACGCCCGAGATCCCCAGACACGGAACGCAGACGCATCGCCAACCTTCCCCGTCCACAGCAAAGCAGGGGAGGTCTCCGGTCTGGAGACCCTAGGGTGAAGGTTGATCTGATGCGCCGCGTACCGAACCGCAAACGGCCACAGAAAATGGG